GTGGTAGGAGGGCAGAGCAGCAGGACTGCTAGCATAAGGAGGGAAACGAAGAAAGAGGACTAGATGCTTTGTACAAGCAAGTCCTGAAGCAAGAGTAAGTAACGTTGAAGTTTGCTTCTTGAAAACACTGGTTTCTCTGCATCTCTTCTCCCACCAGGTGACTGGCTTTGACAGTGTTGATGATGAATCCAAACATAGTGGCCATATGTTCTCTGACAAGAGCCTTAACCCTGACCTCTGGAGCAGTGAGAAGAATCCCCCTTATAGCTATTATTTGTATTATATGTATGTGAACATCATGTTGCTAAACAACCTTAGGAGGTAAGTAGTAATTTTTCTCTTTTACAAGCTTCCAGAAAGAAAAATCAATAATCTTGGTCTCAATCTAAGTCAGTGTCTAGATCATATATCTTTTGAAGGAAAGGTTATCTTGAATTATTTTAAAGAGTCCAAGAGGAGTAAATGAGTTATTCTGAAAACGTTAACTGCAAAATGAATTCAAATTAAATATTTGGAAATTGTAAAGGCATCGGATTAATATCTTGTTTGACATTTGTGTGTATTTTTGTTTTGTGAATTCCTTAAACCTGAATATATCAAACAAAACAAAAGAAGAAACTCCACAAAACTGACTTCACCTTTGCTTGGATTCACAGTGGATTTCCAAATATAATGTACCTCTTGGTAGCTTGCTATCTCCTGGCAATTTAAAAGACACAAAGTTATGTTGTGAAATACTGGTTTAAGGGCTGCTATTATTATCAAAGACAGACAAAGGAGGACATAATTATAAACTGTACATCTAGCTAACTTACTTCAGCATGCTTGTTGACTCATTCAGTTTTACTACTTTTGAGACCGATGTCTAGGCAAGTAATGCAGGGAGTTATGATACTGAATGTGAGATCATGACTGTAAAAGCAGATTTTGGCATCAGGCTCAGTAAAGCCTGAAATTCAACTTGAGGTTTTGTTCCTGACTTTGTGGCTGACTCACTGAGTGATCTGCACAATAGACTCAAATTGAGGCACAGTGAGGTTATCCATTGTTATTACGGTGTCATCACTTACCTTGCAAGGATTTGGTTCATTATTATTTATAAAACGTTTTGGGATTTTGTTATAGGAGGTACACAGATTTGTCATTTTAACAGGTCTTATCCAAGTTAACATTCAAAATGTTATTTCTTCTCTCCCACTGCTACCTCAAGCATTTCTTTCTCTACCACCCTATATAATCAAAACTCATAATAAAAACATCCACCTTAAATTACCTTGTACCTGCAACAAACAAGCCTAGTTGTTAGTTTTAGTTCTGTTATGGAAAGGACACAGTACAGCAGATATCTAAGTCATCCCTTTCTCCTGACTTCCTTTACATTCTCTGTAGTCTGTGTTTTTTTCTTTTTCAAAGACAGAGATTCTGTTAGAACTTACGCATTTCTTTTTTACCTCAAGATTGTTTCAACTACTGTTTGAAAATCTCCCTAGATAATAATTAAATATTCTTTACAGCTAGGTGAGATAATGACACAATTCATCACTGAGTCAGTAAAACTGTTCACCCTGTTAAACATACTGAGTATCTGAGGCACCACAGCCAGTCCATTACAAGACTGTTTTATACTTTTGGTAGTATTAGCAAAGTCAGCAAGGATGGATTACATCCTCACATCCATTTTCAGGAGAAACATTACTAAACATCCATCCTAGAACTGCCTTACACTCTAGCAATCCTTGTTGAAATTCTTTGTTTTGAACATCTCCAGAAACTTACGGGACATTTGTCTGCACTGAACAACAGGGTCCATTATAACCTAAAACCCAGCATAATTTTTAATATAGATGATAAAAATAAAATAAGTTCTAGAAATTATAGTGTGAAGTCTAGATCACTCCTAGATCATCTCTGTGCTACTGAGTGTGTGGTTTTATGCTGCATTTAATCTGGTGAGATGGCAGGTTGTCATCACACTAGGTAGTGTTAACTAACTCTTGGCAATGTGCTTCCACTTCTTCCCTCATTTTGAATCTAGGAATTATGCAGCCACAGGTTGCATCAGTTTACTTACCTTTCCATCTGCCAGTTCCCTCAACTGAAATCAGTTCAAGAACTGTTCACCCAATAGCTAAACAATTGCTAAATGAGATGTAACTGGGGAAGGAAAGAAGAAGGAATACACAAATATGTCAGGTGGTGGAAGGGGCTGGGGTAGAGGGACCTGCCCCTTTTGACAGCAGCCCACGGATAGGCCTGATTAGATGTCATGCCAAACTGTATGAGAGCGTGTAACTTTTAGTATTTTTTTTTTAATTCCCATATTAATGATAATTATATACAAAATAGATGAAGAACAGTGCATTTTCTGTTAGTGGA